TAGAGTAATTTAATTTCATTTAAATGTAGAGTAATTTAATTTCATTTAAATGTAGAGTAATTTAATTTCATTTAAATGTAGAGTAATTTAATTTCATTTAAATGTAGAGTAATTTAATTTCATTTAAATGTAGAGTAATTTAATTTCATTTAAATGTAGAGTAATTTAATTTCATTTAAATGTAGAGTAATTTAATTTCATTTAAATGTAGAGTAATTTAATTTCATTTAAATGTAGAGTAAATCACGACAAAAAATGTTAGCGATAATTTCAACAATACTAATATTAATACTAAATACTGTGAGGATTTCAAAACGCGTCAGCGTGTTGCAAAATTTCTAGTTCTTGAAACTTGTAAAATCTACTAATAAGCTTTCGGTGCCTTGCCGAGGAGAAATGTTTTACAAACTAGTCTCACTGACCTTTACAACTTTAGTGAATTTGTTCCCAACGAGCTGGCCCACCGAGTGGCTACGGGCCTGATTCAGATATGTTTAGTAAATATTCATATGCTAAACTTCGTAATTATCTATAACCATTATTAAATGATAAGTAAATCTTAGAAATACAAAATGATTACTTTGTTTTTGGGTTTATGCACTTAGCGACCGATAAATTCCGTCTATTGAAATACCGGCTGTTTTTCATCTTCAGCAAATGATGACATTTTGATCTGCTCATATATATATATATATATATATATATATATATATATATATATATATATATATATATATATATATATATATATAGTTGCTCATCCTTCCATTTTGGGTTTCTTCACAACTCTACCCCAATCTCCCCTCTCAACACGAATCCCTATCGTAGAACGTACTGACTGACCTGCCTTCTTCACAAAAATCGGCATTTTTGAAATCACAAAAGAAACACTTGTATTAAGAAATGTCCTATTTTATTGCTGTCTTTTACATGCGTACGTACTTGCGTGTGCGGGCGGGATGTGAGTGTGCATTTGCTTGTATACGTGATCTGGGTGTGTAGCTGTATAAACACAATAAACCCGAAAAACTTATATAACATGTGTATATAAAAGTAAAATAATATATGAAGATAAAATGAATCTTTTTACAAAGCAACACACTAAAACCATTAGTAGTTCATTGTAGTGAATCTGGTCATAATTTCGACTTAGAGAAATTAAAAGGAAAAATAATTTACTAGTACTAAAAGAATTGAAAGTGCATTAATTTCCGAGTCTTCCACGCTATCTTTGTGTCCACGTTCATACCACATTTCTCCTTCTCCAAAAACTATTTCTACCACAAGATGAGATATTTAAGAAGAACAGCGATAGAAACAGAAACAAAAACAATAGCTTTGGAAAGCTGAATGAAATCGGCTAGCTGTATGTCTAGATACGTCGGACGCCAGAAATTTTAAATTTAAAGTTTAGTGTCCCTACATCTTCAGAGTTCTTCTTGATATCTAATTATAACCAACAGTTTGTTTACATTTCCACCTCCTCATATATATATATATATATATATATATATATATATATATATATATATATATATATATTAATTAATATGAACAATATTTTTAATCAGTTCACATCTAGAAAGGTGATAATGCCACTAAGATGCAAGGAGCCACTGGGAATGGAAGAGAATCGAAAAACGTTAAAAGAAATCGGAATCACAATCAGGAAAGAAAGTATAAAACTCTACCCCTGTTCAAAAAAAAGTGTGTGAACTGGCTGATAGGCGAACCTATCTACACCTATTGAGGAAAAATAAATAAATGGTATATAAAATTTCAGAATTTAGGTGGAGAAGCTAGAAGTATGGAGTTGATATATTTAGAAGAAACTAGAAACCTAATCATGAACAGTCCCGAAGTTAAGCAGCATCGAGCCTGGTCAGTACCTAGATGGGGACCGCTTGGAATTAGTAGATGCTATAAGCTTGGAAGTGCTGGTGAAGTAATGGATAATGACTGAAAAGTTCTAATTCCACGTAAGTAACCTAACTAACAAGGTTTTATAAATAGATGACTAGAACTGGGTATGGGAAAAGACTTAAAATAGATAGGAAGTTGGGAAGAGCCATGATCTCCTATGTTCTGAAGGCACATAGAAAAAGAAAGTGTTACTTCTTCGATGAGGGAGTATATCTGACTGGGTGATATTGAAAAGAAAGGGGTTTCATATTTTGTGAAGGCATATCATTTTCTATCTGAAGATTGATATTAGACATTCTTCCAACTGTTCCGACAATCAGTCCAACGATGTACACTAACGTGCCAAAATTCATCCGAGAGCAGTATGTAAAGGTCATAGTAGATGGCACCACTTTGACGTCATAGGAATGCACAAACCTATATCTATTGAATTCTGACATCTGATGAATTAATGTAAACACCGACTCAGATGCTCATGCTGAATTATTGGAATTTGAACTGAGCATATGGTAGTGGCTGCTAAACAATTAGAACATTCTGGTTTTGAAATTGTTGTCTTTGATCTGATGGAAAGCATTATTACTCACCATAAACAGCACACTAGCTGACACTGGGTCCTAAATGGCTGTGATTAAAGGTACCTAGCTAGAATTGTTTGCAGTAAGATACATGTGATATTTAATGAGAAATTGGAGCAGAAGACCCACCAAGGTGCTCCTGTTAATACCATTTTACCGGATTCACTCTAGATATTGCTGTTCTGGTTCAGGAAGCAATACGTTTGTAAGGGTTTGAATTGCTATATCTCATACCTCATCGGTTTTGAATTCAGTGCTGTCCATCTCCTAGAGTGTTGTCCATCTCCTAGAGTGGTTACTAATCAATGCTACCGAGACCAGTCTGCCCTGCTATTGACCCTTAGCCAGAAGGTGTAGAAATGCATTCAAATATCCCTAATGACTTTTGATTGGAATCTGAACGCGATGTGCCAATCACACTTTTTGCGCTGATCCGATAATTGCTATGCTACACGCGTACGCACAATTACAACACATTAGGGCCTGTCGGTTTTGGAACCGTGGTATTGCACTCAATTTGAAAGTTAGTGTTGACATGATAAATAATGATAAAAATATTTTTTTCGAAATACTTACCGTTTTTTTTTTGTTTTTGTTTTTGTTTTTTTTTTGTTTTTTTTTATGAAATGAGTTTAAAGATTAAGTTTAGGTTAAAAGTCGTAGCAGTACAATTTTATTCCGGTGATCAGTGAAAGCCTTCTAGCACAGCCTTTTATAATTTACTGAAGCTTTACAAATTTTATATGGACAAGATGCATGGCACAAGTACATATATATATATATATATATATATATATATATATATATATATATATATATATATTATGGGGTCCACCCTTTTTTCATACAAGTGGATTCGACCTGTGTGTACTTGTACTGCTGAATACCTGGGGAGATACACTGATACAGTGATAGTGTGAGGTAACCGCTTTGTAAGAGTCACAGTTGCGAGCACGTAGACTCAGAACGAAGTTCTACTTCGATACTGAATTCCCCAGACTATATATATATTATTATTGCTACTAACCGCATTTCTGGATCTACTAACCGTATTACCAATTGTATTATTACGTCAATACATTTATTTGCTATATTTAATTCCTGCGTTTGTCATTCATTTGAGACCGGATTTCATCCCGGAATCCACAACAATATATATATATATATATATATATACACACAGGGTGCCATGGATAAATTGTCGACATTTTATATTTTTAATTTCGCGCATGCGCGTTGTTTGTTTTTATTTTGTCGACTGCACAGTATAGTAGGGTCTGGTGGGCAACATTTGTGAGAAAAAGAAATTTGAAAACAGCATGCTGTACCGTTTGGCATTCGCGCCGGAAGCTCCAATACGAACATTTCAGGGTGTTTGGATGTCAACCTGGGGACAGATGTGAGAAAAAGAGGTAGTACTGCCCTGGGTGGCTGCTAGAAGGCTCTATCTCTGGCAATAGGACTCTGCAAGATGCCACACAAGCAGAAGAACCCAGTCATGGCTGTCAGACGATTTCTGCGATCACATGACCCCTTACGTCAGACCACCTAACTCCACAGACTACAACCTTCTTGATTATTATGTGTGGGGCATAGCTGTGCGAAAGAGCAACAAACTCCTTGAACAGAAGGCAATAATTACGACAGCATTCACCAAATTAAACAAGGAGACCGTCCAGAAGAGATGCAGGAGATCTGGAGGCCTGATTGTAGCCAATGGCTATTTTATTTAATAAATTTACTCTTTAGTATTTCAAGATATTTTGGTGTAATTTTCGTAAATATGGCTGTTAAAATGAGATGGCAGTGTCATTTTCATTTTTGCGTAATTTAGACGACAATTTCTACATCGCATCATGTGTGTGTATATATATGTATGTGTGTATGTGAGAGAGAGTGAGAGAGTGTGTGTGTATACATATGTTCTGTGTATTTCAGCAACAACTGTTATTTAAGGCAGATACCATTAAAACGACATACAATTTACGTCGATTAATCGACTTTTTTTTTTTTAAATTAGGAATAATCCTTCCCGGAAGTTCATTTCGGAAGGAATGGGCGACAACTGGGATCCAAACTTTCGACTCAGAAATAATTGTGGGCCTACATATTCATAATGGTCTACTGAAGTAATTCTTGAACTTTTACTTCCCCGCGAAGTGCCTTATGTTATTCGAGCAGGAATCAATAATTCTCTAACCTGATAAAGCTAATAACTCAATTTTGAACTCAATTTTAAATTATGAGACCGACAGAGAAGCACTGAATTAAGCGCATTGACAAAGAAGAAGGTTAAGTTTTAAAAAAATAAAAATATTTCTCGTGTAAAACAAATATCTTATTTAATTGTTAGGTTACGGACTTATTGATGTACCTACGTATATTATTTAAAATAAACTTGTAAAAAATGCACACGTCTCTCTCTTTCTCTCTCTCTCTCTCTCTCTCTCTCTCTCTCTCTCTCTCTCATATATATATATATATATATATATATATTGCCTAAAATACACAATTGTCATAGATAGATAGATAGATAGATAGATTCAAACACATATTGTTAAATATAATAGACAACTATTATGTTTGATCATGAGCCGTTCTATGCTTCGTATAGTTGCTTTAATTTCGGGAGAAAATAAAGACAAAAACTGTCCAAAATTTGAATATTTTTTATTATGCTGTTCCACTATCTAAGCTTTCGCCATCATCAGAGTGGTTATATGGACATTTCAACAAAGATATTCACCATCAAATATGATATCCTGTTAGGTTTACATAGATAACGGTCGCGCAGTAGTAGACGCAGGTCGTAAATTCATGATTCGAAACTGTTTTTTTTTTACGAATTGGTCAAACCCAAACTCAAACAAAAACATTGTTTTCAATCGTTATATGAGTCTATCCATTGAATAGAATTTTATTATAAACAATTGTCTTGTAAATGGAATTTTTAAAGCATTCTGAATGTAAAAATAAAGAAAAAAGTGTGCAAGACAACAAGAAACACTACCTGCTAAAGAAAAAGTGAAGTTTTGTTCAAATCGGTTGAAAAATGTAGGAAATTCGATCCCATATATAAACGAACACACACACACACGAACAACCTGGGTTTTATAATAAGTATAACTCGATATGAGTTGTCCCCCTTTCATTCTGGCGACAGAATCGTGTTTTATCGTGTTTTCAAATTGATTTCGTGCACAAACAATTGTGTTTTTTCAATTTTTGGCGCTGTCAGAACCACCGCAAGGTAATTTTACGTAGTCCTGTGAAGTCTTGTTGAAATCGGTTGAAAAATGTAGGAAATCCAATCCAATATATAAACGTACAGACACACACACACACAATCTGCGTTTTATAATAAGTAAGATTCAAGTTATATACATACATACATACATGCATATATAAATATATATATATATATATATATATATATATAGAGAGAGAGAGAGAGAGAGAGAGAGAAAGAGAGAAGCAGCTGTGGTAGTGTTAAGTTCTTGATACTAAAACATCAACATCTGTGGTCAACTCGCCAGGACGGATGACAGAAGCATTCCAAATCAATTGTTTTATGGTGAGCTGCGATTAGGGAACAGAAATGCCGTCAAACCTATGATGCGCTTTAAGGACTGCATGAAGGATACGCTGAAGATATGCAACATTCCTTGTGAACACTGGGAAGAATGTATATCTGATCGCAACAATTGGAATGATGCTGCTAGTAGTGGAAGGCGTCACTTTGAAGATGAGAAAAGGAGGCACGCAAAGCTTAAAAGAGATCTACGTCCCCGTTGTACTTCCTGAAGACACCAGCAGGCAGCACGATCTGACGTGTACAGATCGTGCTAGTGTGTTTGTCGATGGCTGGTCTAAGGGGTCACTTGAGAGCACACCGACAGAAGGTGGCAACCGTAGACGTCCTGCAATTGAAATGTGATATTTGTGGTAAGATATGCGGGTCCAGAAGCGGTTTCCTGTGACATTTTAAATTTCATGCTGTTGGACCTCTTAAGTGCCCTGTTTGTACCAAAGTATGTAGGTCCTTTGCTGAGCTAAAGAGCCACATTCGTTCAGCACATCAGTAGATATTCTCCATAAAGATATGTAGTAATGGCTATACTCGGAGACGAGCTGGCAATCACCATATATATATATATATATATATATATATATATATATATATATATAACAATTCTGTATTTGGGCAGCAATCACTCTTTTATACATGTGTCATTAAAGACGACTAACAAGGCACACCAGTTAAGCTTTTTATTTAATTTTTTCTGGTGTTAGACAAGTGTTTTCTTTTCTGGACACAAGGTGTGTAATAATTGCCCAAAAGTTCTGCATATCCAAGTGTTTTCGGCTATTCTTTCAGCCATTACCAGTGTCGATATCTATTTTTTAACTGATTTTAAAAAACACACACACACGCACATTCAGTTAAAATAAAAACCGCCTACAATAATGGTTAAAAGAACAGCCGAAAGCGCTTGGATATGCAGCACTTTTGAACATTTTTTACACCCTTTGTGTCCTGTCAAGGAAAAGAAAACACTTGTACGAACACAAGAAAAATTAAATAAAAACCTTAATCACAGTAACTTGCTGATCGTTTTTATAAAAACATATGTGTGTGTGCGTGTGTGTGTCTTGAACAATAAAAAATGTTAAAAATTAAAATTTAAGTCACACTGTGTTAGTCACATTTTTTAAAATTATGTTCCTTGACTAGTTTCGTCCAGCATGGTCATCATCAGGAGTGTGTGTTTGACTATGGAAAGCAACTTTTAAAGTTATTATTGGAAGACATTTTATATTTTTAATTTCGCGCATGCGCGTTGTTTGTTTTTATTATATTTTATTAACTTCTCATTCTGGCATTTTGTCTCTTGACTTCCATTTGTAATGTAGTAGAGAGTGATCCTGCGCATGTTACTCCTTTTATATTTACTTCATGCAAATGATTGACTAATCGGGAATGTGTGACCGTTTGCTTTTGAAAAATGATATCTCAACAGACAAGACAATATGGTAAGCAACCACTTCCGATGAAATCAATACAATTGTATTTCAGATGTGTTCATTTTTTCAGTCTTGTGAGTGCTAACCTTCTAGGCACCTAAAAGTTTTACAGCGCCTGGCACGTATAAAAAAATGTATTTGTTCATTTGTGTCTCCCATTAAAAAGACTTTTATCTTTTAGAATTAGAATTATTGAGTCCTTCCGCTCATTTGAACAGATTCCTTAGTCTCTTCTTAAAAATAGCCTACGTTGATGCGTTAACATCATTAGGTAAAGAGTTTCACCTGCTTATCACTGCCAGGGCAGAAGAAGTTGGATCTTGCAACCATTTTAGAGTCTTCCTGTCTGAAAATGTGAAAAAAACTGCTCACTTCCATTTCATAATAGCCATTCAGTTGTTTGTATACGTCATACAGATTGATGAACTGGCGCCTTGACTGAAGAGATGGTAACTTGATTTCGCCTGTAGCTATGTTGAGGCCCATATCCTGGGTAGATTGCAATAAGTTTATTTATTTATTTATGTGTTTATTTATTGTAATTTGGACTCCAAATAAGAGTCCTATATTCGAGTACAGGTTGAATAAATGCAGTGTAAACAGTTTTTATCTATTTTTTTATTCTTTTTTTTTTTTGAGTAAATTTCGTAAAGCAACGTTTAATCATATCTATTCTTTGATTAGCGTTCTTTACGATTTTACAAATATGTGATCGTGGTAGGGCCAGATTTAGAAGAGAGACCGACCCTAGGAATGATGATGGGAGTTATTCGGAGGCTCCATAGATTTTGAGGCCCTAGACTTCATCCTGCTGTGTCTATAGGTTAATCCGGCAGTGGATCTTGGAGATAAATCACAGGAAACTGTAATACACACGTTTCTCGGTCTATGATAGCAATTGTCGTCTATAAAGTAAAGGCTATCACCACTTCGCTCACGATTATTTGAAACCCGCCATTTTTCGCTGTATTTACTTTATTTTAACGCAAGAAGAATCAATGACTTCCGATGAGGAACAAACAAGAAATATCAGTAAGCAATACGTCTGACTTGAACGTGTTTCTTCAACATTATATTGGGAGAGGCTTTTTCTATAATCATTTCATTGTTGTTGTTACATTTGTAGGGGTCGTCAGAGTAATTATTGTTGGTGTTTTTCTTCCTGTAATGAATCTATTTCAAATTTCCGGCCAGGATATCAATAACTTTTTCAACTCTCGACTTACTACGAAAAAATTCCCTTATTTCAGTTTTCATCTTATTTTCTTTTCTTTTGTTGTCTCTTTTTCTTCTCTTTTTTTTTCTTTTTTTCCCTTTCCTTTCCGTGCTTCATATAATTTATTTATTCATTTTTCCGATAGGGTGGGCACATTTTTTGTATTAATTGGGAGTTGCTATTCATTTTTAGTACACATACACACATACACATGTACTTACATATTTGTGTGTGCGCGTGTACTCAAAATGAATAGCAACTCCCAATTAATACAAAAAAATGACGATATATATATATATATATATATATATATTCACGGTCTGGCGATTGTGTCCAGCATGAAACAGCCTGTCGCCTCTGAGTGTTGACTTCAATGTTCACTTTTATATTTATATTTACATACGCTCTACCTCTGATACTGAGCACTTTATCCCATAAATATAGCACCTTAAAAGTATATTCCTTAATATATATATATATATATATATATATATATATATATATTATATGTATGTATTGGCTCCTGAAAAATTGATTTCAGTTGAGCTCTCTGGGGAGGAGGTGTGGGTTTGTAAACAGTGACTATTATAGCTGATATAGCGAGAGTCTTCGCCAAAAGCGAATTGAGTCACTGTCGGTCACTGTGTGTATTTATCTAAAAATATATACGCTAAAATCCACCTTCATCCCTGCCGTGCGCTTAGTGGTAGAATCTCCGACTGACACCAATTCAGTCGGGTTTCGATCCTAGCTAAAGTCAACCGGATGTCTAGCCACACTGAAGAGCTGTGAAACAGCGAAACAGTCTGTGTGTGGATGACTTTATATATATATATATATATATAGATAGATAGATAGATAGATAGATAGATAGATAGATGGGGGGGGGGTGTATGTGTGTATGTGTGTGTGTAAAACTTCAGGAAAACTAAAAAATATATATGTAAAAAGACAATATGGATAAAGATGAAAGGAAAACTTTATTTACAATATATCAGGGAAACTTGCTGAAAATAAAAGAAAAAATCTTATCTATGAACACAAAAGGATCTTATACACAATAATTACTCAAATGCATTAGTCATATACAGTAATAAGGTCAACCATAACTTAGATCTAAAGAATGCTACACTTATTAAAATTGGAAGTAACTTTCTTAGACAGAAAATTCTTGAGAGTGGAATTATAAAATCTTACCAAAATATAAAACTGCGCTCTGGATTTTTTCAACTGCATCTTTTTTTTACAAATACCTTCCTTTCCTATGTCACATGTCTTTAGAAATTTAAAAAGATTAAAAGAGAACGGTTAAGATCAAAATCTTGTATTATTTAAAGTATACAATATATAAATTAATTTCTCAAACAAAAATAATATAAATAATAATTTCCTTATAAAAACTTCAAAACCATTTACTCATTTTTGTTTATTAGACATTAAATTACATCACTTAGCATCATCCATAATTTACCTTGACTTTCAGTTAGACGGCAGTAATTTTAAGAGAGTTCTTAAATTTAAAATTTTGATAAATTAACTACATTTTTACTTCTATTTATAAATACTTGTTGCAAAATAAATTCCTTATATTTAATTCGATAAAGTCTATCAGAACAGGAAATGTGTCGGCTAAGATAAGTTTTCCTTTGTCTTTACTCTTATATATATATATATATATATAGATATGAAGAAATATAGTTTTAAGGTGTGCTATATTTATGGGATAAAGTGCTCGATATCAGAGATAGAGCGTACGTAAATATAAAAGTGAACATGGAAGTCAACACTCAGAGGCGACAGGTTGTTTCATGCGAGACGATTGGCGGCCTGACGATTGCGTCTAGCATGAAACAGCCTGTCGCCTCTGAGTGTTGATTTCAACGTTCACACACACACACACACATATATATATATATATATATATATATATATATATATATATATATATATATATATATACACGTATGGTGGAAAGTCAAATAGTGTACGACGAGAAATTTATAGGCTTACTGCCATATCACGTTGAACCAGCGGTTATAGTGTGATCATCGAAGTTAAGCAAGGTCTAGCCTAGTCATTACCTAGATAGGTGACCGCTTGTAAATAGCAGGTGCGACCAGCTCGGATGTGCGGGTGGTGTAATGGATAACGGATCGGAATTGTAAACCGGAGATCCGAGTTCTAAATCTAGTCGGCTTCGTTGTATTCACTTATGCAAAAATACAAACCTCCCCTGAGTAGTGAGTTCGATCCTCACTGGGTGCCCCACACTGTCGACCTTGTGCCACATCTATGCTATGCTTGAAAAATCACTGGGGGACCTCGACGTGGTGTAATGGTTAGAAAGCTTGTCTCGCTAGAACAATTACGACTGAGTAGTGAGTTCGATCCTCACTGGGTGCCCCATACTTTCGGCCTTGTGCCACATCTAAGCCGCGCTTAGAAAATCACTGTATGTGTGTCTGTGTGTGCGTGGCTGCGTGTGTGTGCGTGAATTAAAAAGAGACTAGTGGAAAAACTATTCTTGGCTGGCGAGTTCCGTCTTCTCATTACCTTGATAATGTCCCTCAGAGGACGAAACGCGTCAGCTAAGAATAGTTTTTCCACTTGTCTCTTTTTAATTTATATATATATATATATATATATATATACAGAGATAGATAGATAGATAGATAGATAGATAGATAGATTGATTGATTGATTGATTGACTGACTGACTGACTTGTTTCTTTTACAGCTAAACCTAAATGTTTATTTTTTTTTAAGTCTAAACATATTTCAGATGTAGGAGATTGCTTACATTACACGCTGTTTCCAACAGGTCTTCGGGTAGATAGATAGATAGATAGATAGATAGATAGATAGATAGGTGATTAATTGATTGATATCTTTCTTTTACGGCTTATCATTCTTTTGTTTTTGTTTTTTAAATCCGAAACGCATTTCGGTTTCTATGGCGTTGCTTACAGTACCCAGTGTTCCCAAGCGGTCCTCAGATAGATAGATAGATAGATAGATAGATAGATAGATAGATTTCACAAGTACTTGGGAGATCCTTTTTCATGGTGTCTTATTTCTCATTCGTTTTGGTCTTTGAGTTCATTCTTCTCAGACTCCTCTCATTCAATTTTCTTTCGTTTCATTATATTTTATTTTTGCCACTTCCATTCTCGCGTTTTGTGTTTTATTTCATTTTATTCCGTTTCGTTGTTTAGGGTTACGAGAGCGGAAGTTGAGTCAGCACACAAAGGGAGGTGAATGGGTTCGGACCAGCTTGGGACATAAGTAAAGTAATCGCTAAAAATCTGTGCAAGCTTTGATGACCATATGTTGGCCGTCTGTAAGAGGATAACGGGGCAAAAACGAAGTCAGACAATTCCAAAAACAACTGCTCGCATCACACCAACTGATTGCCGGTGGGTGTAGCGTTTCGGTCGTACAGACAGACAGGCAAATAGGCTGACAGACACAAAGCTAATGTCTCTGTTTAGAAGACGGCGAGATAGAACAAGCAAGAGATGGATAGAAATAAATTTGTGTGATAAATCCTGTATCTGCGAAAGAGCAATAAGGGTAAATTTAAACCAACATGAAAACTTTCCAACTTCGATACGTAGCGTACTCGTCGAAAGCATTAATATAGTACAAGCGTTTACAAATATAACGAACACGGCCATAATATACTGACCAAATTCGGGAATTAGAAATGTGTTTTTCTCTCAGTATTTTACATTCCCTTTACAATAGTACAAACAATCTTCCTGAAAATGGCTAATAGATTAGCCGAAATCTCTCAGAATTAACAATCATTTTGAAATTTCTACACAGACTATTACTACTGTTACTCTTACGTAAAATAAATTATTATATTACCGATCTCTTATGTTGATCACTGTCGCACCTGATTGAGTTAGTACAGTGGAATTTTGTCACAGATCGTTTAACATTTGTAGAATTCATAGAGTTAATCTTATCAGAAACGCCACTATCCTAATTAGAATGTAAATTTCTCTAGCTAATTAATCATTGTTTAAAAAGACTTTTATATGTTTCTGCGAGTCCTAGTGATTTCAGAAAGCCGGGCTTGGATTCGCTTCTTTAAGGAACTTTGCTGTTTTCTTGCAATTAATGTTTAGTTCTTTCTTCTGTGTCTATATTTCTGAGATGTACACTATTTAATGTAAATAGTGTTCTTTCTTCTCGCTTTGGATTTCAATGCCTCGAAAATCAAACTAGTTACATTATATGATCGCCGATCGGACCCAGAACTACTGCCAGTCACGATGAACGGGTGTCACCTCAGAGACTGTTGGGCTTTAGACACACACCTGACCTCAGGTGGAACTCCTATATAGGATCCATCGCTAAAGATGCAATTAAAATGGTCGGCTTCCTGTAATGCTCCTGACTCATTGTGCTATCCTGTACCTTTACAAGAGCCAGATCAGACCGAAATATGAGTACTGTTGTCATATTTAGTCAGGAGCAGCCCTGTCTTTATTTTCTAGTCTCGATAGCGTCAAAAGCGTCTCTAAGTCCTTGTGGGTGATGAATTATTTTCCACCCTCCAACCTCTCCCCCATACGCGGGATGTGGCAAGCCTCTCACTGCTCTATCTCTACTTCCATGGAAAGTAACCATTCCTTGGTTCCGCCAGTTGAAACCTTCACGGTTAGGACCTTCCATGCCACTTACATCGTAGCAAACCACCCACCTTCCATATGTGTTCCATCGGTGAAAAGTAAGTTCTACTCGAACAGCTTCTGTACGCGAACAACTGCTCTGTGGACTCCCAAGATGATGTTTCCCCGATCACTACAATCTTAATCTGTTCAAGTGTAGGGTTAACCGTTATCTGTATAAAGTGTAAGAAAAAAAAGTATGAATCCGCCTCTCTCCGCTCCTCTACCTGGGTTTGGATAAAAGGACAGACTGGGTTCTAGGATTAACCGTTTTCTGCCCCTCCTATCTGTATAAACTACCCCTTAACATTACCCTTTACCTCGAGTGACCCCCAGGCTTTGTACAGGGTGAACCTTACTGTAAAATAAAAATACCTTCTGTAGTTATTGTAGTTTCATTTCTGTATCTGCTGTCAACACTGTGTCATCTGCATCTAACGTAAAATAAATTATTGTATAAGCAATCTATATTGATCCCAGACGCATCTGTCAGGTGCAGTGGAGTCTTGTAAGGGACTGTTTAACAATTATAAAATTCATAAAGTCAATCTCATCAGGAGTGCCACCATCCCGATCCGAATTTTGCTCACTAAGTCCGAAAATAAATATCTTTTTTGTACACAAGAAAGACTTGGCAAAAGTACATTGTCAGCCATTTATAATGAAATTTATTAGAGAGAGAGATTGCGGCCCAAATACACAATGATAGATAGATAGATAGATAGATAGATAGATAGATAGATAGATAGATAGATAGATAGATATGAATCCTGCACTTACAGCTGTGAATAACTATCGGGGCGTCATAGCCTCAAATCTCTCCAAAGGTCTTTCTACTAGTTGTGGAATTGATACTACGTCAAGTTGGTGCAGTTTGCTTGGCTAGAGGGAGCTCTCTGCGATGACAGGCAACTATCCTATAACTTTTAGCTCATTAGTGTTTTTGACAAACTTATTATACTTCTATTACTCGGTGTGCATGCAACTGGCGTTATCGTGACAGGAATTACGTCAAATCTTTTGTTCCTTGAATTGATTACATTATGTATATAGAAAAACAATATGGCACAAAATTTTCGAGTGAAAGTTGGAAACATATCTGGGAAATTGTATTTCGTTTCGCCGTGCGCATCCATAGCCGAATTGATTTCGACGACCTCCATGACAGATGGGAACAAAAATGAAGAAATAATCAAATAACGAGGCTTTATATCAGAGTAATTTACACTTTTTTACATGATAAAAAATCAAGCATAGATCGTGGTCATGTTTCAGATTTGAAGAAAATACAATAATAGATTTTAGTTAGTATGAAGATGTTATAGTGCCTGTATTGATGAAGTCTTACTTAAGTTGAAAAATTCACTTGTCTACAAACGGGATTTAAAAATAACACGCTGCTTGAAAATGTACACGGTGTCTATCAGTTTCCCGCCATAATGCGAGATTATGGCTATGAAGATTACATTGTGGCGGGAAACTGAGAGTAACAATACAATGTGGATTTTTATATCTACACTCCTCTATGTTCCAAAACGTAACACTCTTCTCCTATTGATATTTAATATAGCAAGTTTTAAACAATATATGTGCGTGTGGGGGGGTTAAAAATGTCAGATAGAGTATATTTGTAAACGGAGAATATGAATAAATACGGAAGGAAAACTTATCTTAGCCGGCGCATTTCATTCTCTGATGAACTTTCTTGAGGCGATTGTAATGATTTTATTTTGCAACAAGTATTATATACAAGAGCAAATGTGTTAGTGGTTTTTCAGAATTTTTGATATATGAATGCTCATGAATATTCATCAGATTAGCAGAAAATCAGGCATGTTTATGGACGCGAAGTGATACAGTTCAATGCCTAATAAAGATAAGGAGAACTGACAAATTCAGTCTGTTTAATTTTTTTATTAGATTTTTCTAATTTCCGGATAAGGTGTTGAGTATTGTATTCAAAGTTGTGGATAAAATGTCTGAAGTTAATATTTTGTTATTTTTATTTTCAAGTACTTTCGACTTTCGCAGTTATTATGAAGAATTGACGTGGGATCTATGAGGTAGTTAAATTTTTCTTTTTTTTTTTTTCATCGATTTCACCCCAAGCAAGGCAGAAAAGCCACTAAGACACAAGGTGTTATTGGGCGTGGAAGAATTAGAAACAGAAACTTTAATAATGAGTGGAAAGAGAAAAGAGTAATCAGGAGGACAATAGATAACGGTTGACGTTGCATATAAATTTTGAAGGTTAAAGTTGAATGGAAAACTTGGACCCGGAAGGGAGTTTCACAAGCAACAAGTGCGAGAAAAGAAACTGTTATCATAGCCAACTCAACTGTAAATTACTCCTTTGTCTGCATCGTAATATTCTTTAGGAAGCTGGACGTTTGAAATGGCCAAGCGTGACGTCATGGGTAACGGCTATTGAAAACGAGGCTGCTGAAAAAAAATGCGGTTTATTTATTTATTTTATTAACGAATTAATTTATTTATTTTTATCATTTTCTAATACTAATATAATATAAGCGCACATTATATAAATCATCTGCGCTTTAAGATACATTCTGTGGCGAATGATATTTTATTTAATGTGAACTGTTTATTTTGTATAATCCTAGAGCATCTAGAGTTTTGAGTCTTTCCTTGCATTGGATGCTGTAGAGTATTTTGGTGTTATCTACTAATATTTGTCTTATGTTGATAATTGTATTTTGCTCGTTTGTAATATGCTGGTCAATGTGTTCACGGATTGCACTGAGTTTCGACAGGCAACAGGTCATTCTGCGAGGAAGTGTGGTGCATGTGTGCCCAATGTAAATATTTAATGTTGTTTTTTGATTATTAGTGTTGAAGATGCAATCTCCCGGGAGCGGGGCGGGGTGCATACGAATTCATAGACGACGTTATTTTTACATAGGGAGTTTTATGGGGACCGGTGTTATTGGTGTGTTTTTTTAAATTTGCAGCAGATGATAAATCTAAATGTTTCTTAGAATCATTGAGTGATATGTACTGGTGAATTATGTTTTTAATTGATTTTTCCTCCAGTTTTTTAATTAGGGCACATTTTTTACGATAGAATAAGTTAATGGCGTGTTTATATTTGTTTGCGTAAGAATGGGGATCTGGCATCAGTTTTTCTAAATTTTCGATTAGTAAGGACATACAAATTTAAGTAAACACAAGTTACTGCTAGTGGTTTTTTGTAAAGAGAGATGGCAAAATTATGGCTATTAGTGTCGACTAATATGTGAAGGAAAGGGGTTTTATTGTTAACATTGAGGTCGTAAGTCAATCGTAGGATAGAGTTATACTCAAAGGTTTCTTTCGGGTGTTTTTTTTTATTTCTTTTAAGCTGTTTGCTAATATGAATACGTTGTCGATATAACGTGCGTATAGTGGGGGTGGCTTGGTGGAATTATTGCAGACATTGTTTTCCACATAGGAAGATTTTCCACATAGCAAAACCATATTTGCCCAGTAAATTCAGTCCACTGCCGAATTCCTCAACATACTACAGATACAAAATACCTTTTATAAAACACATGATTTACCGAGCTAATTTAATGCCTTCTTCAGGCAGATTATTTTATCAGGACCATTACAACATTACACAAACCCTAATCAACACAAATTTCCCTAACCACAACGTCGACTAACAAATAAATTTAGCCTTTAGGAAATTTAGAAAAAACCTCGCAATTAAATATTTTGCAGACACGCACACAGACTGGAATGTATCTAGATAGATAGATAGTGTTGTGGGGCTCTCCCCTTTTTACATAAAATGGACTCGCCCAAAGTATACTTATACTGACAGAGAGACTACTTGCTGTTGAGTTTCGTCGAGATGTAGTCTCGATGTCTGTCGAACTCTCTGCTTCGGCAGAGAGGAACCCGGACGAAGCTTTGCCGAAGGGCAAGGTTTCATCCGGGAAGGTAGACAGGCCCTGAACCCGTCTAGGCGGGTTCAAAGGGTATATTTTTGGCCGAGCTTACGGGCTTGGAGAAACCCACTTTAAACTCAGCCTTGTGCCACAAATATTCCTCGTGGGTGGGATATTAAATACCGAGATACGTTGAGATACGTGGAGATACGTTGAGACAGGTTGAGAGAGACGGAGACAAACACAGGGTGTTCTCAGAGAGTTATACACGAGTCCAGAGAGATAGAGAGAGAGAGTGAGAGAGAGAGAAAGATGATTACGGCTTTACTTACAGAGACTTGTACATATACTTCCTACTAGCCCGCATTCCTGGACTACTAATCTTCACTTCAAGTCTGTATTCTTATGTTTAATACACTTATTTTTTATCTCAATTACTGGTGTTGTTTATTTATTTGTGTAGGATTCCATTCACGGAATCCAAAACAGATAGATAGATAGATAGATAGATAGATAGATAGATAGATAGATAGATAGATAGAAGTAAATATGTACATCAGTTAACTGAGACATTTAGGTACATGTTTGTAGGCTAAGACAGATATATAATTTTACACTATTTTTTACTCAATACAAAACCCAAGGGCCACTCAAAGCAGAGGATTAGGGAAAAAGGTTGTTGTAAAGCTGTAAAGGAATTAAGACGTCCATATAATGAGGACATGTATGATAGACAGCGGTTGACACTAGACTTGAAGCTATTCAAATCGTAGCGATTGCGAAAGCATCCTCACAGGAGTTTGTTTCACAAAGTAACTGTCCTGGACAAAAATCTGCCTGTGTGGAAATTCCTCCTTAAGAATTGAATTCGAAGGGAGTGGGGGTAAATCGACAGTGTTTGCGTGGTATGGCGGGTCCTAAACTTGATAGATAGATAGATAGATAGATAGATAGATAGATAGATAGATAGATAGATAGATAAACATAATGAAAAGACAATGAAGGGATTGAGATAGATAGATAGATAGATAGATAGATAGATAGATAGATAGATAGATAAACACAATGAAAAGACAATGAAGGGATTGAGATAGATAAATAGATAGATAGATGACAGACAATGAACAGATAGATAGATAGATAGATAGATAGATAGATAGATAGATAGATAGATAACAATGAACAGATTGAGATAGATAGATAGATAGATAGATAGATAGATAGATAGATAGATAGATAGATATGAATAAACTTAGATAAATAGATAGATAGATGCAAATAGAATGAGAGATATAGAAAGAGAGATATAGAAAGTAGCTTACAAAGTAGGTTAAAAGAACTAGAATAGATGGTCAAATAGCTATAGAATTAGGAGTATTGCAAGAGAAAAGAGCATCTTACACGTTAGTTACCAGAGAAAGGCACCCGTTTTCTTTACTTAGTATACCTGCTTAGGTTACAAACAAGAAACACACAATACTTTTCCGGTCGTCTAACAAGACAACGCTTCAATGATCACAATATCAACCACCCGAAGGCCAGGTGCTCCAAACATGATCCTTCAACTGCTGAGCAATGAGTATTTGAGGAATTAAAGACTTCCTGGGGCGTGCAATTATGGCTACTTAAGTGTTCTGCGTCGTCCTTCAGCAATCTGAAATAAATGTTACTTGCAAATATCTCTTAATCGTAAAAGCGCACTACAGGAGGCCACGAGGTCCTGTTATGTTCTCACTCGAGACCGAACTTGCTGATACACCTTTCCACATATCTCCGAAGAGAGGTATTCTAATTTCAAATGACGGAAATAAAATTCCTTTCACACCGGCCATGAGTTATGAACAGAACCTCTGTATATGGGATCTTTTTCAAGGTTGACTATGGAGCTAACAGCCCGTTGCTTACAATAGCTGGAGAGATAGGATTATTTATAAAAAAAAAAAACTGCTTTCATTATACATAAATTTTCGTAACAAAATTGGTATCTAATATTTTGACTTGACATATTAAATAAAATAATGTAATAAGTAAATTTGTTTTAAAATCATTAAACTATAAAATATATCGTTATCTTTTGTAAAAAATCCGCAAACGATTTCGATGTAAAAAGTTAACGTTTGCTTTATTACATTTTATGGGAAAGAAAAAGAAGAAGAAGAAGAATGAGGAGGAAGAGGAGGAGGAGGAAGAGGAGGAGGAAGAAGAAGAAAAGAGGAGGAGGAAGAAGAGGAAGAGGAGGAAGAAGAAAAGAGGAAGAAGAAAATGATAAGGAGGAGGAGGAAGAAAAAGAAGAAGAAGAAGAAGAAAGGAGGAGGGGGAAGAAGATGAGGAGGAGGAGTAGGAGGAGGATTTATGGGAAAGACGAAGATGATGATGATGAAGAAGAAGAAGAAGAAGAAAAAGAAAGGTGAAAGAAATAAACACATAAACGCTGCTCAACTCCTCCTCCTCCTTCCAGTTTGTGCCCAAAACAAGGAAACCGGGTTTGTTTTGATTTGGTGTTGGCTCCGCCTCCTTTTAGGATGATGAATATGTATATATTGCGGGATGCGAAAAATTTATCTTTTCCTTCTGTCTTTTGGGGTTGGAAGAGCGGTCCTGAATGCCGAAATATAACAAAAGAATTTTCGTATATGTTTTGGGGGTTTTTTTTTCTGCAAGCCATCTGGATTCACAAAGAGAGAACATTTAAAGAGACTGTATCCGTTAGACATAAAAGAAAACAGCGGAAAACCCAAAGGAATCCAACAGTAGACATCTTCTTCCTGGGTTTGAAAAGACAGACGAGATTCAGCCAAATTTCGATTTTTCAAATCTAACAGAACAGAAAAGATTTTCAGTAAGAGCTCAAAAGGTAATATATTCAACTCATTAAGACACTAATTTCAGAATGTCTAGAATTTAGTTTCCTCTTTTGTGAATCAAATTATGCGTCGATTCTGGTACGATAGATGCTAAATATTTGAAAATGAAACTGAAAGATTATCTCAAAACCTTTTTGGTAAAACCCCAGAAGTTGCCTAAGAATCTATATATAGTGATTTGTTTAAGTGCTGACATTTCGATGGATATGAAAGATTCGATGTATTTTCATATTCAGTGATTTTCTTGTATTTCAACACTGTCTTGTATTTTTATTTATCACGTGAGTTTTTTTTTTTTTTTTTTTTGCCAATCCCCGAATTGTCTTAGGCGTACAGCATCCTTTTCACCGTTTCTTAAGATTCTTCTACGGCTTCTTGTATTAACCAATGATCCCTTAAACTCAGGTTTCAGTATTACATGTCCTTTTTATATATTCTTACTCAAAACTATCTAAAACAAATATAACAGAAGAAAACTCATTTGAAGAAAAATAATTTAGCCTGAGTGTTAATGGTTTCAAAAGAATCTTTAGTATAAATTTCTGCAATTAATTTTATATCAATTTAATTTAAATAAGCGTTAATTTAAAACTTGATATTAATTTATTATGGTAGATGGTGTGATAGCTACTGTTTGTTTCGTCGGCCCTAAGGTAACAGTACCTTTTACTACAGAAACATGAATAAACACAAACATGGATTTATAGAACAAAGAATAACGACTATTTATTAAGCGGAATCCTGGCTGGTGTTGTGGAAAAGAAAATGTATTAGTCTCTGTTAGAGCAGTTAGTTCGATGTGGACATGGCAAGCACTAGTCATAAATTACAGGTAAGCTTTTGAAAGCATATTGTATTTTGTATGAGAAGCTCGTACTTACAAATAAATCCAGTTATCTATCGACAGAGGGTTAGTTCTTATGTCAAATTTCTCGTCCGGGGGTAGCGAGCGGAGTTTTACGGCGCCGGTGTGTCGTGCTGATATGTCGTTCCTGGTCCATCGATGTGGTTGCTTCTCCTCTGTCGTTATACTGCTATCTGTCTAAATGCTAATTCTTCTCTGCTTATATCAGTAGAAATGGGCTCAACTTACTCTCAAAAAATTTTCAATACTTGATCTTCAGTTAGATCGGCCAAACGTTGAATCATTAATTCTGATTTACTGTTTTTTTATTACTTTACTGGAACTATGTCCGCGCGTTTTTTAACTTTACGTCATCTATATGTTTCCGTTAACTATGTATTTATTCCTGGCTACACCCGTCTGTGGGCTGGAAAATTTATTTTAAGTTTTTGGAGGTGCGACAACTGATTGTGTAAAAAATCTATATTGACTCATTGTAATTATTTTTATATATGGTATTTTTGTTAATGGTAAAAATAAACTTTTCTTTTCATTAATTCATAACAATATTTATAAGTCTACCATTTGTCCTAGGTTTGAATATTGCTGCTACATCTGTTCTGGTGCTCCTGCTATATATTTAGAGATTCTTCATAAAATTCAAAGAAGAATCTGCAATGGCATTATCCCTGATCTGGCATCTCGGCTTCGGTTATTTTCCAACCACCTTAATGTGGCTCTTATGTGCCTTTTCTATAAATTCTTTCATGGTAATTGTTCTGATCAATTTTCCGCTATGGTACAAGGCTTTATTAATTTAAGCACAGCACTAGATTGGCATCAAAGTCTCATCCATTTACAATTAAAATGGCCAGATGTAACCATAAGTTCTATGCTAACAGTTTCATTTATCGTACTTTTCGTCTGTGGAATTGTCTTTCCGCTTCTTGCTTCCCAGTCAACTAGGATCTTCAAAAATTTAATTGCAATATTAATTGTTATCTTCGTAATTCTTGTCCTTTTATTATTCTCTCTCCTTAATTGTAATTTTTCTCATTATTCTCTAACACTCAAAAGCTTCCTGCATCCTAACAGCTTCATTGCATTTCTTGGGATAAAATGATATTTTTTTTAATTAACAAACATCGAGCCATCTATCCATCTTTTTCTTTTTCTTTTATTTTTGTCTTGTTAGGTTTTTTCTTCATTTTTATCGCTATGCCAGGAAAGTAAGAAAACATATATACTGCTTACTTAACCTCATACACCTCCATCGTCCATTATGACAAGGCAGTGATACCAATCCTTTATCAATATATCTAGCAATGGAACCTTTCATAAGGATGTTAGTGCAAAACGATCTGTTAGGATTCTACTTCGAAATTCACCGATTCCGTTTCTACTAAGTCATTTTAAAAAATGCCCTGTTCCTTCCCGTCGTAGAATATCCCGGTTTTCCACAGATTCGTTTTTCTTTATTATCCATGAATTTTCATTCCTTTTTCGGAAAAAATGATAGAGTGATTTTGTATGGCCTTCTCCATTCATATGCATCTTTCATTGATCTTGTTAGCGAATAAGTAGACCGTAAACAAATTTTAACGACGGCGCGTCTCGGACGTTTTTTGCAAAGATATCCCCAAGTAAACATTTAAAAACAAAGTCAAAATGCACTTCTCCTGGGTAAACAATTTAGTACATCAATGATACTCGTTCGACTAAAGCATTTACTAATTTTTCAGGAATAGTACTGGTGTGGCACCTTGCATTATTAGAAATATTCTTGAAATATGATTTAATTTTTTTACTCGGTTTACTAAACAGGTTGTTGATTTTTTAAAACGGAAAATAATTGAGTTGAAAAT